CAGCGTGCAGGAGATGTGCGCCGTGCTGACGCACGGTGGCTTCCAGACTTGACCCGGCCGCCGCCGCCCCGCCGCCGTGACGCACTTCGCCGCCACCTTTTATCCGAGCGCCCAATGCGGTGCGAATGCGCCGAGGCGGCCGGGGCGGCCGGGGCGGCCGGAGGCCTGCATGCGTGGCTCGCCGAGGCTCGCCGAGGCTTGCCCAACGCGATCAGCGCGGCACTGCAGGCTGATTCCGAACACGGCACTCTGTCTCTCTCGCACTTATGCGCAGGTGGCGCGCCGCACGGGGCAGAGAGAGACAGAGACAGAGCCCTGTTCAGAATGGGCCTGCTGGCGTGGCTGTCGGCCGACAGGTGCAAGCAGTGCAAGCAGTGCAGGCCACGCCAATAAACGCAGGGCGGGCCGACCGGGCCGGGCCTGCAGGCAAATGGGCCCGCGGACTCGCACAGTCGGGACACGTCTCGCCTCGCGTTCTCGCGTTTCGTCTCATCAGCATAACAACGACAGCGCCGCGTGGCCCAGGATGATGATGGTGAACACGGCCACGGCGGGCGCGGCCGGCCGGCCGGTCGGGGGTGCGCGTCGGCAGCGTCGTCGTCGTCGTCGGCCTTGCCGGGCGAAAGTGGCGGCCGACCGGGGAAACGCGCGGCGGGGTGCAGAGCCCGCTTTTTGGACCGCGCGCGTCATAGGCAGTCATAGGTCACGATCCTGGCCGCTGGACGCCTGGACGTCTGGACGGCGCCGACCGTGACGCCGCACTCTGGGGCTCTGGCGTCGAGTCTGGCCGGCCAGCCTAGAGGCCAGCCTAGAGGCCAGGCGAGCCCCTCTGAGCCCCTTCGCTGGCCGGCCGATACGAATTGCAGCATGATAAATAGAGGCGTGTGTCTCTACTTCTCGCTGGAATGAGCCGTGGCGCGGGCTGGCGCAGCCTAGCGCAGCCTGGCTTGCAAAACGCCAAAACGCTGCCGCTGCGCGCGCGGCCAGGCCGGGCGACGTTTGTAGTCTGTGGCGCGCGGGGTGCTTTGGCTGCCTCGGCATCAAGAATCGACATATCGCCATCGCCCCGACATAAACCTCGCGGCCCAGTTTTGGCGTCGCCACTGCTAATGAGGGCCCACACCTCACACACACAGACACACACACAGACACACACACAGACACAAGCACAGACACACGCACACACACGTACGTTTCTAATAGCGACAGGGCGTGCTAGTCGCGGCCGAAGAACACGCCCTTCATAGGATGGGTGAGTTCGTGAGATCTGATCAACTCTGCAGCAGTTCTTGCTCATCATTATCATCATCGTCATCATCATCATCTTCCTCAACATCTTATCATCATCATAGAAGCGCATGGAGTCTAAGTCTCATTCCAAGTTCGGTGCCAAATCAGCGACGTAGTCCAGTGGCATTCGCACGCTGTTGCGAAGATTGCGCAGGCATTGGAGACGTCTTCTTCGGACAAGCCACAGAACAGGTCCTCCTCATCAGCTTTTTAAAGTGCGCGGTGCGCGCGCCTCTCTGGCGCGGTGGCGGTCAAGTTACCACTGCACTGGCGGGGGTCGCGTCCCGCCATGCGTCCCGCGGCTCGCGGCGTGGAATCTGGTTACGCCCATTTGTCTGGCCGGTGCGGCCGGCGCGGCCTGGTGGCCTGGAGGTGTGAACCCCGACCCAACCCCGACCCAACCCCGACCCAACCCCGGACCGGGCGGCGGGCGGCCGGGCGCGACCCCCCGCGAGCAGTGCCACTGCCGTTGCTGCTGCACTTGCTGCTGCACTTGCTGCTGCACTTGCTGCTGCACTTGGTGTTGGGCCGGGATGCACTGGGCCGGGCTGGGCCGCGCAATGCTTCGAAAAACCGGTTCGCGATAAATTAGCCGCGATAGGGCTTCTCGATGTCACACCGTTCGTCCAGTAGACCGATTCCGAGAGTCGTTTTCGTCGCTCTGTCTCTCTCGCACCCATACGGGACGCCCCATGAGTGCGAGAGAGACGGAGCGATGAAAACGACTCTCGGAATCAGTCTGCGGCCTAGCGTCCAGCTAGGCGTGCTGCGCAGTGCAGGCCGCCCGCCGTGGTCGTCAGCCCGACGGGATTACTGCTGTGCGAATCCAAAGGACGAAAGCTTCCTCGGCCAGCCAGCCTGCCTGCGTGCCTGACGCAATGCTCGCGGTTCACGGTTCACGCGTGCTTAAACGCGTGCTAAACGCGTGTCGCAGAGCGTTAATGGACTTCCGTGTGCTTGTCATTCACGCGGGCGCTTCGCTTCCAGACCCGCCACAGAGTCGTTTTCGCCGCTCTGTCTCTCTCGCACTCACGGAGCGTCCCGTATGGGTGCGAGAGAGACAGAGCGACGAAAACGACTCTCGGCCAGCAGGCCATCCCGACGCCATGAGCCCGAAAAGCCCGCCGCGCCGCGAACTGGACCCGTCGGGCCGGCACCGTATCGGCGTCGTATCGGCTTGGGTTCGCGGGTTCCTGGTTCACGGCACCGCCGCCCGGCCGCCTCGGCCGCTTCGGCCGCTCGGCACGTAGGGTAAAGAGACGCGCGACCCGGGCAGAGGCTCGGGCTGGCCAGGGCAGACAGGCAGAAAAATCTGCCGGGGCCTTCGGGTTTGGGACCAGTAACGCCACAAAGTTGGTCAAAGAGTGACTGAATCTCCGAAAGTAGCCTATTTCTCTGATTTTGGGCGGCCACTGCGTCCGATCTAGTTGCGGCCAACGGCCTACCTCGACGCCCTAGTATTCTTAAGACCCTACTCTTTCATGCCCTGTATCGGGAAGACGTTGACCACAACGATTTTGGCTTTGACCGCAAAGATTTTCCGACCAAGTTGGACAAAAAATGGTCGAATCTCGTAAATTTGCTGATTTTGCTGACTTTGGGTGGCCACTGTGTCCAATCTAGTCGGTGTAAAAGGCCTCCCTCGACGTCCTAGTATTCTTAAGACCCTACTCTTTCATTCCCTGAACCGGGAAGACGTTGACCACAACGATTTTGGCTTTGACCGCAACGATTTTCCGACCAAGTTGGACAAAAAATGGTCGAATCTCGTAAATTTGCTGATTTTGCTGACTTTGGGTGGCCACTGTGTCCAATCTAGTCGGTGTAAAAGGCCTCCCTCGACGTCCTAGTATTCTTAAGACCCTACTCTTTCATTCCCTGAACCGGGAAGACGTTGACCACAACGATTTTGGCTTTGACCGCAACGATTTTCCGACCAAGTTGGTCAAAAAGTGGTCGAATCTCGGAAATTTGCTGATTTTGCTGACTTTGGGCGGCCACTGTGTCCAATCTAGTTGCCGTAAAAGGCCTCCCTCGACGTCCTAGTATTCTCAAGACCCTACTCTTTCATGCCCTGTATAGGGAAGACGTTGACCACAACGATTTTGCCTTTGACCGCAACGATTTTTCGACCAAGCTGGTCAAAAAGTAGTCGAATATCGGAAATTTGCTGATTTTGCTGACTTTGGGCGGCCACTGTGTCCAATCTAGTTGCCGTAAAAGGCCTCCCTCGACGCCCTAGAATTCTCAAGACCCTACTCTTTCATGTCCTGTACGGGAAGCCTATTGACCGCAACTAGTTTGGGAGCGGTAGCCTCACAAAGTTGGTCATGAAGGGTAAAAACAATGATGATCGGGGGCCTTTTGCGGTCTTATCTGCCGGGGCCTTTTGGGGGCCAGTCCGAGCCTGCCCGGGCAGAGCAGCAGAGCTGCCCGAGTCACCGCGCCGCAGCCGCAGGGAGAAATGATCGAAAGTGAACGAAGTTGTCTGACTTTTTACACTGATTATTACGAAATAATTATGACTCGGATGGGAAACGGCGCCGAGGATGGAATTCGACCGTTTAAAAACACGAGATGAATGGATCTTTTTATGTCTTTGGCGCTGATGAGAAAGATAAATTTGAAAAAAGAAAGACTCACTACGGACACGCCGAGGCCTGGAACGAGTGCAACAGTGCAACAGTGCGACGGCACTTGGTTTTATACGCGCCTCGCAGCGAGACGACGGACGACGGGGCGCTGGTCCATTAACATATTTTAACTAGCTTCTACTCGTGTTGCTCGCTGAAAAACAGGTGCACTGCTTCGGACGCTTCGGCTGCTTCGGCCGCTTCGGCTGCTTCGGGCGCTTCGGGCGCGGAAACACACGCGCTCCCATTACACAAACGCGCATCTCCCTGGACGACATCCACACCGTTAACAGCTTCCCGGAGGCATGGCGAACCGTGGCGTGGGAAGGCCGGGCAAGGCGAGGCGAGGCGGCGCGCCAAACTGAAACCACTTTCACTGCTCCGCGTTCAAATAAGACACGCGCGCGAGAACCGCGCAACTGCGGCGCCCGGCCGGCGCACTTGCCGCGCTCCGGGGACGCGAAGGTGGTCGCGATGACGACGACGTCCAGCCGGCGGTGGCGGCGGCGGCGGCGGTGGAGGAGCACCTGCAGATGCAATCACCCGCCGCACTATTTGCCAGGGATTATGGAGCACCTTGAACACTCCGGCTAGAGCTCGTCCTGGCTGAGGGCCGTGGCGGGGCGTACCGGGGCGTGCCGGGCCGTACCTGGCCGTACCTGGGCGTACCGGGGCGTACCGGGGCGTACCTCGGCGTACCGGGGCGTACCGGCCGGGCTGCGGCGGGGGCGGAACGGTACGGAAACTGGCGGCCAGGCCAGGTCGATGGAAAATTCATGCGGCGCCGCGCGCTATTACGCGTCGACGCGGTGAATTCAAACCGAATGTGGCACCGCAGGTGTCTCGTCTCGGCACTCAGCGGGCCGCTGGGGCCACCATCACACAGTCACTCACACAGCGACACGCCAACACCGCCACACCCATTCATTCACTGCCCCGGCCAACACGGCGCGCATTCCCGGGACACCGCTGGATGCCGCTCGCGGACTGAGTGTTACACTACATCGGCTGCGGTCCTGCGGTCAGCAAAGCCGTCTGATTTGACTATTTTCTGATTTTTCTCTGTTTCGTTCGCAGATGTCGCGGCTAGCCCTCGCGCTGCTGGCGATCGCGGCGCACGCCGGCGGCAACCCGCAGTACAGCTACCACCTCGTGCACAACACGTCAGGTAAGTGGCCATCTGGCCGCCCCCAGTCCTGCGTGGTCCTGCGACGCGCGCGCGGGTTCGATTCCCCGCCTGCAGTGTGTGGACTTTTTTTGACAGGTATTTATGGCGCTGACCTGCATGTGTTGCTAAGCGAGTGCATCGCTGCAGAGTGACTCCGAGAGTCGTTTTCGTCGCTCTGTCTCTCTCGCACTCGAGGGGCGAGCCGTACCGGTGCGAGAGAGGCAGAGCGACGAAAACGACTCTCGGAATAGTCTGCTGGGAGCTCGGACTGCTCGAACCGCTCGGACGGGGCGATCATGCCGCGCCATGCAGTGCACGTAGCCGGCCAACATTTCAAGCTAGATTTCCGCGGGGTCTGGCGCTCGCGCCGCCGCCGCCCGCCGGCCTTGGCGCTGCACTGCACGGCCTCAAGGGCAAGCACTTTCTCATATCATGACCGAATTTGCGCCCTTGGCGGCCTCGGTGGCGGCCTCGGTGGCGGCCTCGGTGGCGGCGCACGGCGCGCGCCGCGCCTTTCCAAACACAATTATCGGAAAAGGCCGCCGTGTTCTCGTCCGCGAGCGACGGCTGTCAAAGCGTCGAAGATTAGGCAGTGTAGCCGCTCGAGAAGCGATTACTACTTCTATCCGATTCGGTTCCTGCGATACCGAAACCGGGTCGATGGAGAAGGGAAGGAGAGTAACCGGTCGGGAACCGGATTGCCCTAGTTGCGGGCCATGACACATGGCTATGTACCCGCTTCGCCGCCCTGCGATCCGATTCGGATCCGGTTCAGATCCGGTCCGCGGCGCCGCGAAGGCCGCTGTCGTAGTGTAGTGTCTCGGTGTTGGCGTTGTGATTGAAGGCGGCTATGCTGGTCCAGCCCGAACACCGAACGCCGCGTGAGTGTCGGATCGCCGTGCCCTTTCCCGTGTTCAACGAGCCTAGCCGGCTTTTGGCGCTTGCCCTGGCCGGCCGCGCGCCACCGCGCCACGCCCTCGGCGGCCGTTCAATGAACGTATCGCACTTTTGTAAGTGGACGAAGGTCGCGGCGCCGCCGGCCAAAAGCTGTAACTGTCGGCCTGGACATGACGCCCATGACGCCTAGGCAGTGCAGTGGCGGCCTAGGCGCGGTGGCTGCGGGCATAACGGCTTGCTGCGCCCGCTCCGCGCTCCGGCTGCTACACATTCCCGACACGCCGCCATACTTCACCTCCAAAGGTCGCAGCGAGCCCTGCCCGGCCGCCTGGCCTGGCTGCCGGCCTGCATCGGGACGAGCCGGCGCGGATATTCAGACTAGCCATAAGCCGGCCTTGGCGCGAGAATTTCAAAAAATGCGCGGGAAAGTGGTGTTTGTTTGGAACTTGCCGGCCGGCACGGAAGGGCGTGTCGTGCGTGCCGCCGATCGCGTTCGCTGCGCTTGTTCTGGTTCCGGCGTGTTAGTACGCCGTTCGAGCCGAGTTACCGCCGACAGGGCAAGGGCGCCAAGGGCGGTCATGGAGACCTCAACGCGGGCGCGGCAGTGAGCAATAGACTCGTGTGCGGAACGCGGCGAGCACGGCAAGCTCCTCCTGATGGCGACGGACTCTGTTTCCAGGCTACTCCACGCCGGCGCGCTCCAGCATCGAGGTGTTCCGCGGCTACGGCAGCCCGCCGTCCGAGTCCATCTCGTACCTGGAGAGCCCGCTCGCGGCGCTGGGCATCGAGGACCAGCCGCTGGCGCCCCAGGCCGTGTACGGCCCGCCCGCCATCGCCCTGCCGCCGCCCGTGAGGACGCGGCCGAGGCCGAGGCCCGCGCCGACCACCTACCTCCAACCCGGCCACAACTTCCTGCAGGCCACCGGGTAAGTAGTAACCGTTCGATCGCCGATGTCCAGAGTGAAGCAACGCGCCGCGGTGACTGGGGCCCTGGGGCCGCGGGGTGGGCGGCGCGCATCCACGGCCAGATAGCCTCGCGCACGCACGCCGCGGACAGCCACGCCGCGCAACCGCCTCGCGCCTCCCGGCCGCGTGAACGCGAAATCAGCTTTGTGCGTGGCGGAGTGGCGGCCTGGCAGGGAAACACGCCTCGGACACGCACGCGGCCACGCACGCCACTCTGTTCATGCTCTTACCCCATTTTCATCGTCCTCCTGCTGGTCTGGCTGTCGACAGGTACGGCGCCGCCGACCTGCACCCGCTGGCGGCCGGGCCGCGGCCCGAGTGCGCCGCCGCGCCCGTCGCCTGCCCCAACAACAAGTACCGCACCCTGGACGGCTCCTGCAACAACCTGCGCCGCCCCGCCTGGGGCATGGCCGGCACCCGCTACGCGCGCCTGGTGCCCGCCAAGTACGCCGACGGCATCCACGCGCCGCCGATATCCGTGACCGGCCAGCCCCTGCCCTCCGCGCGCGCCATCTCCGTCGTGCTCTTCCCCGACGTGGACATCAAGGACAAGCGCTGGACGCTGCTCACCATGCAGTGGGGCCAGATCATCACCCACGACATGTCCATGGCCATGGGCAACACCCAGGCCAGTACGCGTCGTTCCGGTCCTCGGGGTGGTCTTCAGCCTCCCCGGTCGCCTCGTGTAGCGGGGCCTCTCAGGTGGCGGGCCTTCAGCCAACCCCGACTTCAGCCAGAATGCCGTTGACTCTATGACTGGAAAGCGACCGGCCACGTCGTGGAGGCCACGTCGTGGAGGCCAACGCCTGGCCTGCGTGTCAGCGTGGCGGCAGAGTGGCAGAGTGGCAGCCATGGTGGCACATGTCGCCGTGACCGCAGCCAAGTTGCCACCAGTAATGAGAGCGGGACTTACCGAGAGAAGGACTCGCCCTGGCGGGGCGGCAGGCTAGGCTGCCCGCGGCGCCGGATACTGCCCAATGCTGTTCGCTGCTTACTGTATGCAGATGCTATCCGAGCGGGGCGTGGCGGGGCGTGGCGGGGCGCGGCGGGGCGCGGCGGGGCCTCCAGGCTCTCCATCAGGCCACGCTACCCTTGCCCCGGCAATTAAATTGGAAGCAATTGCCGAGACCGCGTTACTTACCGGCTTACTGGCGGCGCGTGCCTCGTGGGGCCAAGGCCCGATTGGCCCGATGCACCGTCACCGCCACGGCAGGACGCCGCCAGCGCCACCAGGGCGACGGGGCGTGGAAGCGCGGCACGCGCCGCCAGCACCGCCAGCCAGCCCACCGCGGTCACCGCCTCATTAGTCACACGCCGGCCGATCGGTTTCATTTAACCGCCGCCTTGCTGCGCCCAGTGTGGCCGGCCTGGGCAAGGCATCGCCAGGCGTCGCCAGGCGTCGCCAGGCGTCGCGCCGCGAGTGTTGCCAACAGTGTGACACAAGCGTGACACCGGGGCGACTTGACGCACGCCGCCACGCGCCCGCCGGTATGGAAATTGGGTCTCGTCAATGCATTCCGCCGCCCCCACCACTCCCGCCACCCCCGCGACCCAGGAGGACACGCGCCCGCCGCCGCGCCGCCGCTCTAGTTGTCGAGGGACGGGACGGGGACGGGAGGGACACATGCTAAACAGGCGTTGCATAATTCGAGTTGGCACCGCGCGACCGCGCGCCTTACCCACCGCGCTGCACCTTGCAGCGGCCTGCCAGGCGGTCCTTTCGTCTGATTCGCCGTTCTCTGATCGCTCCGTGTTTCTCGCTTCCTCGCTCGCAGAGCCCTACGCCACGTCGTGCTGCTCGGAGGACGGGTCGGTGGCGCTGCCCACGGAGCGCGCCCCGGACGTCTGCTACCCCATCCTCATCCCGCGGAACGACCCCGTGTTCGCGCCCTACCGCCAGGGATGCATGAACTTCGTGCGCTCCACCACGGACGCCATGCAAGGTTGCGGCAATGCCTACGAGCCCGCCGAACAGGTATATACCGTCAAGGAAAAGTCTGAAAAAATGCAGCCGCCGTCGGGATTAGAACCCGCGTGACCTATCGTCTGCTCTCCGCTTGCAGCTGTCGACCGTGACGTCGTACATGGACCTGTCGCTCGTGTACGGCTCGAACCAGGCCCTGTCCGACATGCTCCGCGAGTTCCGCGCCGGCCGCATGATCGTGGAGGTGCGGAACGGGCGCGAGTACCCGCCCACCAACCCCAACAGGACGGAGGTCTGCGACGGCGAGGGTCCGGGCGAGGCCTGCTACTTCGGCGGTAAGCACTGCTGTCACGTGGGCGCGCATCTGCCCAGCACACTACTCGACCCAAGTCAAACTCTGTCCTGCTCCCAGGTGACGTCCGCATCAACCAGAACCCCCCGCTGACGCTGCTGCAGGTGATGCTGCTGCGTGAGCACAACCGCCTGGCCAGCATCCTGGCGCACCTCAACCCGCACTGGGACGACGAGACCCTCTTCCAGGAGGCCAGGCGGATCAACATCGGCCAGTACCAGTTCATCTCGTACTACGAGTGGCTGCCTCTCTTCCTCGGTCTGTAGTCCGCTAGTCCACTGTGGTCTTGGCTCGTTCGTCCTGGTGCCACTCACGCTGCTCTCTACTTCAGGCGGGGACAACCTGCGTCGCCACGGAATCCTGTACAAGTCCCAGAGCCACATCAACGACTACCGGGAGGAGGTGGAGCCCAGCACCCTGCAGGGACACGCCACGGCCGCCTTCAGATACTTCCACTCGCTCATCGCCGGGCACCTCGAGTGAGTACCGCGCGGAGTACGGGTTGCTTTCCTCACGGCGCACGATGGGCCAGATGCCTGGTGGAAGCAGCCGAAATTCTAGACGCGTTTTGAGATCTAGCGTAGCTAAATGGGACTCGAACCGAACGTGTGACCCCACCAATGGATTGCTCTCCGAACGAGGAATTTGTAGATGGGGTCACACGTTTGATTTGATTCCCATTTGGAGACTCTGGCTGGAGCTCAAACCGCGTCTTCTGGCCCACAGTGTGACGCGTGCTGACGCCCCCCGTCTTCTCTCACAGCCTGGTGGAGGAGCACCGCAACGCCTACGGCTCGCTGCGCCTCAGCGACGTGTTCAACCGGCCCGCCGTGCTGGAGCAGGGCGACGGCCTGGATGACCTGAGCAGAGGCATGGTGACGCAGCCTGAGCAGGCCTCGGACCAGTGGTTCACCAGCGAGATCACCGACTACCTGTTCCGCATGGGCCGGCCCTTCGGCCTCGACCTGCGCGCCATCGACGTGCAGCGCGGCCGCGACCACGGCCTCGCCTCCTACAACGACTACCGCCAGTTCTGCGGGCTGCGGCGCGGCCACACCTTCCACGACTTCGCGGACCAGATCAGCCCGGAGGTGAGGGGAAGCGGACACGCGACGTCCCTATGTCTTCGCAGCGCCCGGGCACTCTATTTCTGTCTCTCTCTCGGTATCGCAGAACCTCGAGAAGCTGGCCTCCCTCTACGTGCACCCGGACGACGTCGACTTCACCGTCGGCGGCTCGCTGGAGAGGCACGTCCCCGGCACCGAGGCCGGCCCCACCTTCAACTGCATCCTCATGGAGCAGTTCTACCGCGTGCGCGTCGGCGACCGCTACTTCTTCGAGAGCGGCAACAGCCCGCACCCCTTCACGCCCGGTGAGCCCCTCACGCTGTGTCTGTGACTCCGAGTCCGTCTCGGCACGGCCGCCCTGTGAACGCCGCTCACTGCCCAATCCTCTTTGCAGAGCAACTGGACGAGATCCGCAAGTACAGCCTGGCGCGCCTGGTGTGCGACAACGGCAACAACATCCAGAGCATGCAGCCGCAGGCGCTCAACTTCCCGGCCCACGAGTGAGTATCGTACTGAGAGAGTGCCCAGCGTTCCGGCGCCTTGTCGCCATGAGTTCGAAAGAGACAGAGCGACGACAGCGCGGTCCCGAGAGTCCAGGCGGCTCGGCGCAGCGCTCCGCCTGCGAGCTAGGCCGCCCATCCAGCGCCGACGCGCTGACGACGCTCTGCCGACGCGCGGGGCAAGGTCGGCAAGGTCGCGGAGCACGCCGTCGGCCGTCACCGAGGAAGAAGGAACGGCCCGGTCTGGCCGCCCCGGACGCCACCGCGCACCTCGTCGTGTTCGGAGAGCCATAATTAGGTCACATTGACGTCACTCGTCATCGCTTGCCTTTGTCTGTCCCGCAGCAACCCCCTGACGCCGTGCGACCAGCTGCCCTCCCCGGACTACAGGGCGTGGCAGGAAGCGGTGCCCGTGCACGCGTACGCGTCGTACCTGGGCAAGTGAGCCGACGAGCCGGCGCGCCAGCGGGCCACCCCGACTGCCCAGGGCCACGACGGCCCCCACGACGGCCCCCAAGACGGTCCACCCGAGACGTTGTTTAATTGCCTTCAACAACGCTCTGGGGTCGCCCTGGGGTCGCCCTGGGGTCGCAAAACCCCGTCCCAGGTTCACTGAACCCAACAACAACAACTTCTTTAGATTAATATTTCGGAAGAAAAAGAAAGAAAGGATCAGTGTTCATCTTCAAAATCCTCCGAATTCTTTTTGTCCTTCGTGCAGAGGTTTCTTTTTGGTTTGCAGGCCATTGAAGTGTTTGGCCTTTGTATTTGGAGAACTCTGACTTGGCTATATTGAAATTATGGTCAACTGATGCGATGTTATGGACTAACTTTGCTGCACAAACCAGACCAGACCAGACCAGTGGTGTAGCCGGATAAAGGCCTCACGGTATCCTTAAATAATCTTGCAGTAAAAGTAAGAAGTATTTATTTTTTATCAACTTAAAAAAAAGAGTTGCACTTTTAAGACCGTTCAGCTCGTTTTACGTGAAGCAGAGCATTGCTAGGAGAATGTTGTAAATAATGTACAAACGCCATTTCATAAGTTACCTCAAAGCGTTCAAAACTTTTATACATATGCCATCAGTCATTACTGACAGACTAGTTAAGAAAATGAGCTTCGGAAGAATTGTTTCTCGTCCACTCGGCTCACACCGAGTGCCATCGGAGCAACACTTCTTCCCATCCTCATTCGTGATTGGGGTGGTTTTTAGAGTTACCATGACTCGTAACCTTCTTCATTCGCGGCGGTCCGCCGCTGTCATACCTCAGTGTGTGTGTTCGAATCTAACAATCATGTATTTTTAAGTACGACCATATGTGTCTAATCTTCACATTGAAGCGCGTGTCTCGACGTATGACATCTCGTCTTCCGACGGGATATCCTGTATATTTTTTTTCGAGCGAATTAAACTATATTTTATTACGACGCCTGTCTCGTTCCTCCTCCTCCTCCTCCCCCCCTTTTTTCCACCAACCGGCGCGCCGCGCCTGTCGCGAAGCGGGTAGGCAGCCCACCGCACACTCACGCTGCTCGCGCCCCAACCCGTCGGAGTCAAACGGCTGAGAAGCTCATCAAGGAGGCCGGGATGGCGGTGACACTCTTAAAACGGCGGCGCGGCCTCGCGGCCTTGGGGGCGCGCGCTGGGCCCGCTCCAGAGGAGGCGTTGATCCCCAGCGACAAGGCGACGTCGTGCAGCACGCCCGGCACGCCCGACCCGGCCCGGTCAGCGAAGTGCGTCTGGACCTGCAGTGGCCGCCCAGCCGGCCCAGCCGGCCCGGGCAGTAAAACCTGTTTACCGCATCCGCGGTACTGCGTGCACTTTTGACGATGCCCGCGCCGTCTCGCGTCTCCAGATTTCGGCAGACTTCCGGGATCCAGATGGGCGCGCCCCGAGCCAGGGCAGCGCGGCAATGCGGCTCCAAGTCTAGTCGCGTAGTCGCGGCCAGGGCGGCGTGGCGCCGCGTAGCGCTGCGCGGCGTGCGGCGTGCCCGTTGGGTTGTCTAGCGCACGGCGCAGCGCAGGCCGCGCCGTGAACTGCCCCGCGGACAGCGGGCCTTGGGGTGGCCGGCGTCCCGATGACAGGCGGGCCGGCGTACCGGGGATTCTCCGAATCACCGCCGAGAGGGCACCAACGACGACGATGGCGTCGTGGGCGTCCTGGCGGCGGTACTACGCCTTCGCCTGCTTCGCCATACCGCGGTAAACAACAACAACAACATTGTGCATCATCGCGTGCGTCAGCGCGTCAGAACGGGGGGCGCAGGCAGCGCAGGCAGCGGCGCAAATGCCTGCCATATTAGGGGGAAAGCGATTCGTTTATGAGGGCATTAAAACCAACAACATCAACGACAACGGCAACCATGACGGTCGTTAGGGGTAGGAGTTTGCACCCAGGCCAGGCCGATAGTTGCCAAGATCCGAAGCACACGAGTCGACGAAAACGCGAGACGAGCGTGTTCGAGGAAGTGCAGGGCGGGCGGTGGCGGCCAGTGGCTCGGAACGGGCGTGCGGGCCGTGCAGGCGGTGCACGGCACGCCACTGCGGAATCAGGCTTGCGCTTCGCCCGCCTCGCCAGTGCATGAGTGCATGTATCGGCAGGCATCTTATTTGTTGCGAGGCGGGCGGGGCCGCTGCCGGCGCCGGCTGATTCCGAGAGTGAGTCCGTCCAGTCCATGCCCGTGGCGCCGTCTCCCTCGCACCGCAGGGATCCCTCCACGAGTACGCGAGAGAGACCTCCGGAGCCCGCTGCGCACACCGCACATTAAAAGTCCTTTACGAGGGGAGCGCGTCACTACGCCACTCACTAGTACGTCACTACGGCACGCAGGCGGCCGGAGCGTGGCGGAGCGTGGCGAAGCACGGCGGAGCATGGCGGAGCCGGGAGGCGCTGCTGTCAATGGCACTTTGATAAGTGACGGGCCGTATTTCTTCTCAAAGTGACACGAAGTGACACGAACTGACACGGGCCGCGAAGCGCCGCGAAGGCAGGCAGCCTGACGTCAAGTGCGTCAACCAGCCAAAGAAACTGATTCCTCGGCACTTGGTTCGGTTCGTACCGCCACCGTCGGCGCCACCCCGGCGTGGCTCCCCCGGCGTCCTCGATCCCCCAATCCTCATCCTGCGGGCCGTTTTCGTCGCTCCGTCTCTGTCGCACTCATGGGGCGTCCTGCGTCGGTGCGAGAGAGACAAGAGCGACGAAACGACTCCCGGAATGAGTCGACTGACCCACAGACACACAGTGTCTCGGACGCGCCGTGGCCGCGTGGCCGCGTGCCCGGTCCTTCCTGCCTCGGCCGCCGCCAGGTCCTGGAGGCGAGGCGCTGGAACTGGAATAAACACGCTCGTTTTAGCACTCGGGTCGACCGGGCCACTTCGGCCCTCGGCCTCCTCCACGAAGACGGCGAAGACAGTGGGGCGGAGACAGTCGAGCAAGGACGAAGGGAAGGCCTTCCGGCCGCCGTCTCAGTCCCATTCGCGGATTCCCGGATTCACGCCCAAGTGCCACTTGCTTTTGCTTCGCTTTTCCTTCTTTTCAGAGGGCTTTTCGACCAGGGTGGCAGGCGGGGCACGCGAGACGACACACACACACACTCCTGCACTCGCAACGGACATTCACACGCACGCGAATTGAGCGAAAAGTGGGCTGGGCGGCCGATCAAAAGCGGTGGCCCGTGGAAAATTTGGTGTGTGACGTGGGCATGGCGTGGCACGGCACTACTACGGCAGCATGGCGGTACGGCGCCGCGGCGCCACGCCGGCAAATGGCCACGCCGGCATATGGCCACGCCGGCATATGGCCACGCCGGCACGGCCGGCCGCGCGTGCTGCCGCTACACTGCCACGCCGCGGCACTCCGCGGCGCCGTACCGGTGTGTGACTTCAGCGCCAGTACATCACGGAAGGATGCGCAAGTCGCCTCGTATTTCACTTTCTGCGGTTCGACGAAACGCTCATATGCAAATAATGGAGCGGGGGGGGGGGGGGGGAGCTGTGTGGGGCCGGGGCCGGGGGGGGATGACAATTGCTGCAGTTTTCGCCATGCCGACCGAAAAAAAAAGATCGTCACCAGACCGCACTAGACTCCTTGCCGTTATTGTCTGTGTGTGTGTGTGTGTGTGTGTGTGTGTGTGTGTGTGTGTGTCGCAGATAGGCGAGCACCACGCCGTCGTCGCCGAGACTCCGGCGGCGCTGGCGCGATGTCGCTGCGATGTCGCCGCGATGTCGTCGCGGTGTCGTCGCGGGCCCGGCGGTGATGATGGCGACGACGGCGACGACGGCAGTCAGGGTCAAGGCGGGATGGCCGGCGCAGCGGCACAATTACACCACCATCACGGTGCAGTGGTGGCGTGCGCGGCGGCGCCGACTGCGCCGCGGCGGCGGCCCTCCAATCCTGCACTCCGCACTGCTGCACTGTCGTAGTTTCGCCGCGGCGGCGGACGGTGGACGGCGCTCGATGCACAAACGGTGGCGCACAGCTTCGCAAGCTTTTCTTAATTATGAATACTACTATATAGTGGCGTGATGCTGTCGCGCTGTCGCGCTGGCTTGGCCTGGCTTGGCCGTCGTGCACCGCCACGCCGCCACGCACTGCTAGGCGATCGAGACAAGGAAGCGCCGCGGCCGCGTTCAATTTGTTTCCCATAACAACATACGCGTCAGCACGCACGTGGCTGTGTGCGTGAGCGTGTGTGTGTGTGTGTGTGTGTGTGTGTGTGAACGCGCGCGCACGGGTTGACAGGAGAGAGGCGCGGAGAGGGGGCCTCAACGCTGTGCAAATTAGAAGGCTGCGAGTAAAAAAAGTAGAGAAAAAAAATGGGTAATGACCGTGCAATCACCATCCGGCTGCAATCCAAGCAGAGCACCGCAGAGCACCGCCAAGCCGAATGGGGACAAAGGACGCGTCCTGCGCGACGCTTTCTTCCTGGAAGCCGCGGGGCCTTACTACGTTAGCGGGGCCGCGGCCGCCGGGGAGGGGAGGGGTTGCTTTTTGCCTTCGCCCCGTCGACGAGCACTTGGCAGCTCGAGGTGCCCGTCGATCACAGCCCACAGGCCGCACCGCGGCACCGCGCTTCCGCCGCTTCCCCGAACAACGCGGCATCACACTAACACACGGCCACGGCGTGGGCGGCGCGGTGCTGCGCGTCAAGAAGACTGCCGCCACCTTGGTCTGGGCGACGGCAACCTCATGGCAGGGGGTGTGCCCGCCTGGCCCGCCTGGCCCGCCGCAGCGCTGCGGTAGCGGTGGCAGTGATTGAGTAAGAGATCAAGGGACCGGCTCCGCGCTAAAGCGACAGAAACGAGATGCGCCCTCTTCTCTCTCTTTCTCTATCGTCGGGGGATTGAGAGATGCAGGTGCAATGACTGCGCGCGGCGCAGTAAAGAGATCCTATTCGAAGGCATAAAACCAGGAAATTCCGATGGGGAGCACTCGGTCTCGTAAAGTATTTAATTGTCATCGGCGGAGTTGGCAGCAAAGTTGCCAGAGCGGAGGGGAGATTCTGATCTTTTTCTAATCGGGGGTGGGGGCACAAATCGACCTACAAGTCATCACTCAGAGGCTGTAATATGCTAGAACCGGCGCAGAACGAAACGTAAGAGAAAAAGAAGAGAGACGAAAATAGGGCTTAGCACCGTTTCGCACCCACTTTTCTACATAGTATGGAAGGCCACCTGCAATTTTGGTAGGGTCGGGGGAACCGGTGCATCCAGCTGATGCAGTTTGAGCTAGGCTCGACGCCGAGCCAAGTCCGGTCCGGGGACAGTTTATAGGCACCGCGCAGTGAACGAACCCACTACGCCTCGCGGGACTCAGGACGGGACTTGGTTGATTGGGTGTGCGTCTGACGACGGGATTTAGTCGCACTCTGGGAAAAATGCGAATCTTTCTGTCCGAGCCTCTCAGATTCGCGGCCAAGAGGCAAAGGGAGCCCCTCGACGTCGCCGAGGTCGTCACCGAGTGCGTCAACGCGGCCATCACCGAGGACGTTGGTAAGGTCATGCCCGAGGACGTCACCGAGGTCTTCGCCGAGGAGGTCGCCATCTCCGAGGCCTGAGGCCGTTCAGGGACGTCGCCGTAACCGAGGCCGTCGCCAAGTACGTCACCGAGGCCCTGTTGCAGGTGCGGCTCGCGTGGACGCCAGAGGCTCCGCTAGCGCACTAATTCCAGCGCCGCGGCAACAACTGGCGTAAAAATAGCGCCGAAAGGATGGCGGTGTCGCCACAGTGTCTCGGGCAGCACATCACGTGATGACAACGAGCGTGCCGCCGTGAGCCACCACGTGCCACCATGCACACCTGCATCGCCCGGCGGACAGCATCATCGCCCAGGCGGACAGGAGCATCGCCCAGGCGGACAGCATCATCGCCCAGGCGGACAGCAGCATCGCCCAGGCGGACAGCAGCATCGCCCAGGCGCACAGCAGCAT